GCGCGCGCGAGGGGGGGGCGCGAACATTTTTTTTGTAAAACAAAGGGGGGCCGAACAAAAAGAGTTTGGGAACCACTGTGTTAGGTAATTACATTAAGAATATTCCAGAAGGGGCGGGCTGCCCATAGACATGAATGTGAGTGCGAATGGTTGTCTGTCTCTCTGTGTTTGCCCTGCAACAGACTGTCAGTGTCTTTTTTATGTTAACATGTTAAACTTAAGGAAGTGTGCAGCTGTTATGAAGGGCAAAATTAGCTATAGAAAGGAGTTATTTGTATCAGACTGTAAATATGTTATTTTAACTGTAAAGATGGACATTTTAACATGGGTGTCTATGGGGACTCATTCACTTTAGGAGCCAGCCTCAAGTGGACATTAGAAGAAGTGTTTCTGGCACTTCAAGTGTTGCTTCATGACTTTTTCAAAATGCACTAAAACGAAATCATTAAATTAAATACCAATGTTTAATTTAATGTTTTACATTTTTTTTCTCAGTCTTCTTAGACAGCCAAGTGGCCAATCAAGTGCTGAATCGAAGGATACGAGCTAACAGCATTTTTGAGGAGTGGAAAAAAGGCAACATGGAAAGAGAATGTGTGGAGGAGCGCTGTAGCTGGGAAGAGGCGCGAGAGATATTTGAAGACAAAGAAAAAACTGTATTAACCTTTATTTTAATACATGTAAATTTGCACTCAAACATTACAAAATTTTAGGAAATATTAGAAAAGATTATTGTAAATATTAGGAATCATATCTCTAAATTATGGTATTTTCCATTATTAACTATTATTTAGTGATGGAAAACCTGGCTTTTAGATCTTTTGAGCAATTTAATTTTCTTTTGTGTTTTTTCAGGATGAATTCTGGGCCAAGTATATTGGTAAGTTTTTGTATTAAAAATCTTAGAAATGCTGAAACTTTACAAATAATACCCTGAAAGGACATTAGAATATATGTACAATTACCAACTGAAAGAGGACAGCTGCTAAAATGTAACCTTGTACTTTGACCACTACAGTCAAACACTTGCTTCAATCTGCTGTTCATGTCCCACAGATGGAGATGCGTGTATATCATCACCCTGTGTTAATGGCGGCCAATGCAAAGATGGAATTGGCAGCTACGCTTGCTACTGCCAAGAAGGGTACAAGGGCTTCAACTGTGAAATTGGTGAAGAACTTCAAATTTCACTTACTGCCTTTCAGAAAAACATATTAACTTATTCTGGTCAATAATACAATCTTGTAGATATACTGTAAGGTTAGTAATGGTTAAGTTTTGGTCAAGTTTTGCTAATGTTTGAAAGCTCCCATCCATTTTCAGTATCTTATCTGAAAAAAAACTATTGCCACAAAAAGGGAAAACTGCTCATTTCAGAAGGAGTTTTCTAACCTTTCTGGAGGTTATATTACTTCAGTATAGATAGCAGTGGGGACAAAAACATGGCTGGCTGAGCCTCCTCTCGCTAGTTTTCCTGGGATAGCCTGACCTTTCTTGAGGTAGGATGGTAAACAATAGTAAAAATCTGCAGAAGAAAAGGAACCAAAGACCCTGTTACAACATGAGCTGTTTCATGGACGCAGGGTTCCTGTGGCCACTTTCTGCATTGTCAGCATGTTTTGGGTCATTGTTATTGTGGACCCATCCATAACAACTTTTCTGTGTTCTGGCTGATGGAAGGAGGTGCTGAAAAAGGGAGGAACACCCACTCTGGGTAAGGGATAAGTTACTGCCCTAAGTGGAGGATTTCAAGTATCTTCTTGTTCACAAGTGAGGGGAGTGAGAAACTGACACAGATTTGGGCAGCGTCAACAGTGATGCGGATGCCATACTTTTCTATTTTGGTGAAGATCATAAAAGCCAAAATCTCGATTTCATGGTCATTCTATGTTCCTACCCTTACATAGGATCACAGACTTTGGGTAGATGAACATTCTGTATGAAGGGATAGATATGAATATAACCAGGATACTGG